GGACAAGCGGACTAACCAAGATTTCTGGGGTTTCCAGAAATATTGACCCACACCAAAAGTGGACATTGCCCTTCCTATAGGAGACGCTTGGTTTCATTGGTGTGTATATTTCTTTGGTTATTAAAAAAAACAACTGGCCAGATGCTAGTTGCTGAAAGCTCGTCTCCCTTTTATGTTTGTCTAAAATCAATCAAGTAAGATTATAAAGAAACCGTCTATTTACACGCGACGCGACGTCTAATTACTACAATAGGAAGGCTGCAGAAAGAGTCAGGAGCACACAGGAGGGGGCAAAGGGGGTGATACGGAAGAAAGTGGAGACGAAAGCAGACGATAGAACATTGTTAGAGAGAGGTGAAAGGAGACAATTTTAGAGAAGAATTAGTTCCCCACTCTACCCGGATTCGATCCTGGGTCCTTTGAATGAGACGCGATGTGTGCCTGTGTGTGCATGTGTGTGTGTGTGTGTGTGTGTGTGTGTGTGTGTGTGTGTTGTGTGTGTGTGTGTGCGTGCGTGCGTGCGTGCGTGTGTGTGTGTGTGTGTGCGTGCGTGTGTGTGTGTGTGTGTGTGTGTGTTTGTTTGTTTTAGTAGAGGTTTTACGGCGCTCGCAATTGCATAAGGTCGTAATATAATATGAGCGCCAATGTATGAACGTCAACAGAGAAGTCCTTACAGTACAGGGAATCAGACTTACTCTGCTCATCACTATAGCTTCAATAGCACAAAGTCTGCTTCGATTATCAAAGCACCTCGGAAATATGTGACAAACATACAAAAGAAGTAGAGGAAAATGACGATAGTAAGGGTTAGGAAAGAACAAGTAGCAGTTCCCTGTTGCAGTTCAGGCACAGTTATGAGCATGACATTGTTGAATCAGCCCATTTACAATGCAATATCCCCTCTTTGGGAATGGCATTAAGACACTTCAGTCTGTAGCATTGCCCTTGGTGTGCGTGTGTCTGAGTGAGTGTGTGTGTGTGTGTGTGTGTGTGTGTGTGTGTGTGTGTGTGTGTGTGTGTGTGTGTGTGTATGTGTGTGTGTGCACGTGTGAGAATATGTTCGTGAAGGAGAGAATTATTTGTTCATGTAAAGAGCTGAGAGAGAGAGAGAGAGAGAGAGAGAGAGAGAGAGAGAGAGAGAGAGAGAGAGAGAGAGAGAGAGAGAGAGAGAGAGAGAGAGAAAGAGAGACAAACAGACATACAGACAGACAGACAGACAGTCAGAGAAAGTGATAATTAATATCAAGACGAATCCACACGAGACATTTATACAAAGTCACAGTCAACCACCCAGATTCAAAGAAAGCACAGCTGTACGTGCAGGACACATGAATTAATGTTGTCGATTAATAATAAAAATGACACCAGAGGAAACGAGGACGTAACGTAATTCATTTTCATTTTAATTTAGTTAATTACCTGTACAAAAGTATTAGCCATAACATGTAATCATGAGACACATTTAACACTTGCCACAAGTTCAGTGGCTTCACTCACGAAGTTCCTCATCACTCGGAGAACTTCTCAACACTCAAAGATTTCAGATTTGCCTAGCAGCACATATTCAATCCACACAGTTTGATTAAAAACAACATGCTATACTTTCGTGGAAGTAACAAGATACATACACTTGTGTTATAAATTTTAATGAGATTTATAAAAACCAAACGAACAAAATGGCCTAACTAGTTCAAGGTAATAAAAAACAAGCCTTTTAAGTCAACAAAATGCACATGTACATATTAAGGTGTTATATTGACGATGCAAGTGCATTCATTTATAAGATAATTCTTTCAGCTATTAAAATCTCTTTACAGTTATTAGCTGTTCCTTTAAATAGGAAAGTACTACAATACATTATTCACATCTCAGTTGAGAATTTTAAATTGCATCAGAGGGCTCTTAAGTATATCAGTCTCTACTTATCTTCATATTTGTGAGACATGCTGACAAAATGAGTTATTTACCGGATTTTAGCCTTGTGGACATAGGCCGGTGTATACTTCAAATTTGTAGGCTGCGTTTGTACAGATAATTAGTATGAAATGTTTAAAAAAACATGTTCACTGAAGATAATGGTATCACTTGAAATATCTGCTGTTTAAAAGTGTCAATTTTCAGCCGGCATCTCCATTTATGACTTTTGAGAAGTAACTCATTTTGTCTGTCAGCCTCACAAAATTTGTTATGAACCAATAAAGCCTCCACTGTGAATTAGTTTTTCTATTTAAACTTTAGGGAACAAATATTAGGACTTTCCTCCAAGATCTAACCTGTTTTTTCCAGATTTCTCGAGTAATAAGAAGCACTTGATATCCCTCACGCATCTTAATATCAATATTAATTTTGTCTTTTAATGAAAACTGTTTTCATATTAGAGGTGTTAGCATAACTGTTATTTATCATATCAAGCACAAAAAAGATTTACAACTTTTAAAAACTGGTAACAAAATGTGCTCACCATACATGTTTTGAAGCAGTTACATCCATCTGACTATCTCTGAATACTTTTTCTCTCTGTCACAGATCAGATATAAAAAAGTATGCTTTTGGGTGCAATTCAAACACAATAACTGTTGCTGAAAAATGAAATGCCACATTCTTCTTCATTTGTCTAACACTCAATAAACAGACAGGGATTTTGTCAGTTACTCAAAATTCTGCTGTTACAGGTACCGTAAAGCACTGCTGGTTTCTCATGTGCCTGTCTATATGTCATGGATGGTGGGACCCGCCATTCATTTCATCTCATTCTTTTTTTCATCCCTTTCTTTTTGTCTCCACTGCTCTGTTAGACTCAAGACATGCAAATCAAAGAATATGGTCTGTTGGGTAAAATGCGCAGAACAAGTTTAGCAATGCTGCCAAGTACAGAGATAAAATGCATCATACAAGAAATGACTGCGTATCAACTGAAATTTACAATGAATGAGATAATATTAGATATAACTTTTTTTCTTGGGAAAACATTTTAGTTATTTTCCTTTTTATAAAATAGTCTTATTGTTACCACACTATCATCTAATTCTTTACATGTCAAATTAATTAATCCTTTTTTTTGTTGCATTCTTTCTTATTACTTTGCATGAGAAAAGATGTTGGTCTTTCTTAATTTTGCTGAATACTCCAAAAATGATGAAGCTCAAGTTTAGCAAAATTACTTTTTGTGATATTTTTCCTTACTGCATTATTTTGTAACTGGTCCATGCTGTCTTCCCTGTAAGTCGTGAAGTTTGTCCTTCATGCTGGAATGCAAATTTAAAAAATAAATTGCTTTTTTTATCTGAGTAATCTAGCTATTTTCTTTTCGAGGGCTAATGTAGATATCACTCAACAACAGCACAATTGAAAAAAAAATTGCTTGCCTCAGGAACTACAAGTTTTCCTCTTAGAAGAGACAAGTACTCGATTTTTCAGTTTGCTTAGATTGTAAGTAAAGCACAAAGAGCTCGCTGCTGAGCAGGGATATGCTTTATAGAAAGATGTGTCACAACACAGTGGAATCAGACACTCGTCAATTTTTTGGCATTTGGAGTTATTGATTTCTTTTTAAAGCTTGTTCATTAGCCTTGCATTCGAGGGAAAAAAAATACCATCTATCTTGAATAGAAGTTGATATATTTGCCAGTGAAGGAGGTGGGGGTCGCCTGATTTCAGAGGCAAAATTAGCGAGAAAATAGCCGTCAAAGTTTGATTACTTCCAAAGCTTGAGAGTCCTAGGAAACTGACCATCTGCAATTTTGGTGCCTTTAATCAGCCCTTTTCAGTAAAATCCACTCAGAAATGTTTTTTTATACAGACATAAAAGGTATTTGGCCAAAAAACAAAAATTCGAGAAAATTTTCCAAACTGGCAGAGCGCCTGATTTCACCACGATGCCTCACAAATGCTTTTTGATATTATCAAAATTAGGTGTAAGATCTGGTGGCCCTATGAACACAGTCCTCATTCAAGCAACCAGCTGTTGGACGAATGAAGGTACAATCCAAAGGAAAAAACTGTTTCTGTGGAATTAAATATGATAGAGGATTTTCAATTACATTCTTGATCTCAACTGACCCCCTTATATAATTGAAGTAAGCTATCTGTAAGGAAAATTCCTGGTACTTACTGGACAGCAAAATGCAAATTTTAACATGGCAAACTATAATTATTGTGTTCACAACATCGCAGTGCAAACTCTCGTCAGTTCTATGCTCAGAGTCAGAGACATCTTTTAATTCATCAGAGGTGCTGAAAAGACCAAACTTAGTTACAAATGTAAAAAGTAACTATAACACTGAAAAGTGAATGCAGAGCAGACATGCAATGAGGAGAGGAGTAGCAATTCTCTATACCTACAGTTTACAGAAAGAACTGCTGCATAATATATAAATATTTGTGACTCACGCTGACAAAATGAGTTACCGGTACTACTCCAATTTTAGCATTGTGGGCTTATAATGTAGTAGATATACTTCACATTTGTTGGTTCAGTTTGTACAATTCAACATATGAAATGATGAGGGACGTGATAAGTTTAAAGAAAACAGCATCAATTGAAAATCGAAATATTTGACCCCTGTTTCGGTTTTTCAGCTGATATCTCGATAGTTGGATTCCGAGAAGTAACTCATTTTGCCAGCCCGTCTCACATTTGAGAAACAAGTAGGCCGGCCGGTCCTCACGTATTGGAGTCTCGTTCTGACCACTTCCAATTTACATCAGCCTCAAAAAGGTGAATCAACGCATTTTCTCATATAACACAAAACATCAGTCAGAGAATAAATACTCACAAATAAGTACAATGCACTTCTACACCGTTGAAGAAATACATACAATTGTAAGTCCTCTTCCTTAAATACATCTCCTCCGCCTCATTTACTTGTAATCATAATAATAATGGCATACGTCATTCTTCAAAACTAACACACCAAACATCTTCTTTTCACGCCATAGGTAGGTTATTGTATAAGTAAAAACTAGATTTTTACAAAACCATCCATGACCAACTCTCTCTCTTTCTCACACAATTATACAAATTGTAAACCCTATTGTATCCTGTCACAAAATCCTCCCAACAGATTCTGGTCATCTTCATCTATCACACAGCACAAATAATATCAAATCTGATGCAAATAATCATGCTTAAAATACTTATACATTAAAGCTCAACAAAGCAAATACAAAGAATGCTGTGTATAATATGATGCGGTGTAGCAGGCACACTGCAACTCATATCGCGTGGAATAATAAAAAATTATAATCATAAATTACAAAAAAATGTTGTTATGCAAATCTTCAGCTTCTTCTACTTCTTTGGCATCTTAATGAAGCTTGGAGTTGTTCTGTTAATAAATCAGTCAACAGTGCAACCATCAGAACTTATTCTTGACACATTATGAAAAGCATTCTTTAAGTGAGAAGGTATGAATTTAAAAGAAAACAATAATATGAGGAAGTGTGGGCATTGTGCAAAGGTTTAAGAAAAATTCAGAGTACTGACAACTATAAATGGTTTAAAAAAACAACAAAAAACCAACTGTCGAATTAGGCTCAGGTTTAAGGTGTTAAGGAGGGACATATGAATTAGTGTGTTTAGGTATGATCGTTTACATATGCATGTACACCCAAAGTGTAAATTAGCAATGGGTTCAAATAAAAATGTTTTTTCTTTTCTTGATGTAAAAAAAAATATCTGAAAAACCATACGCTTGTTTTGTTCGGAGGCACCAGAAAGGCAGTGCATGGGGATCACATGAGTGTCTCTTATTTTGTCCGTTGGTCAAGGTCACCGCAAATGTTAATAGATAGATTACATTTCTCAAAAGGTTAGGAAGGATCTTCCCCCCCAAAATTATTTGACTTCAAGAGGAGAACATTAACATGACAAAAGTGTCTCAATACTGAGAAACTTTTTTTTTTTTAAATAGGCCTATAGGCGTTTTTACTCCCCCATCAATATAAATTAGATTATTTCGGAGGAAGGCTTCTGACCCTGCCTGTCCAGACTGAGAGATGTACAATATTCCCGTAGAAAGGTAGAGAAACTTGATAAAAAATTTTCTCCCAACAAGAATGGAACTGAAGTCTCCTGTGAGCGACACTGAACCACCTATCCACTACACCTCAGAAGCCAGTAATGCTGGGTAAAGCGAGACAGAAAGACAAAAATAATCAAGAGGTAGTCAAGAGTAACACCTGCCAGATTAACTGCCCTCCAACCACTGTTTCAAAGGCAATTAAGACGGTAAATGATTAAGTCCAGTTAAAAATACAAATCATACTGACCCTGAAGTTTATATTTCAAAATTTGCTACTTACAAATACAGTCAATTTCTCATTGTTACTGTAAGCATTAGAAGACAATTACAGTCTACCCCCAAAAGTTTCTCATTTGAATCAGAATAAGGGCCTAGATCCAACTATTCTTTTCTCATCTTCCCGTTGCACTTGCTCCTTATCAAGACACATGACTAAAAATGCCAACAGTAAAACCTTCGTAAAACGTACTCCTTTCGGACTCTTTTCAGACTCAAAATTTTGAATGACTCAGTCAAGGTTGGAATACTCATTATCCAAAAATTGTAAAAATACTAAATGGAAATTAGGGCTTCAGAGAGTGAACATTACAGCTGATAGTAAGTTCTAAGACGTGTACATAATCACGAGGTCTTACCATATAAAACACCAGGAAAGAAGAGAAGAACTTTAGAACCCAGCGAGGAGGAAATCCACCACTTTTGGCTATCAGAAAAATTTCTAATCAATTGTGGCATAGCTAACCCAAGGAGGGTTTTACAAATAGAAGAACTGTTCCCCCATCTTCACAACTACGGTCTTACGGTCCCCTCCTATTTACAAAACTATTGTCAGCTAAAAAGACTTTATAGAGATTTTTATTCTATGCCATTTTTATAAGATGTTGTTGAGTAACATGGGTTGTCTGTTTCCTGAAGAAATGATGAACAAGGTACCTACCATGATTATAACAATTGTGTATATTGTATTATGAAATGTTAAATGTTCTTATATGTAATGAAAGAATGAAAGGAAGAGCAGATCATATGAGCAATGGGATGCAAATAGCAACAAACAAATCTCTGATAACTGGCAGTAATAGTTCTAGTCTTCTTCTAAGTTTAAATATCATTCTTACTTAGTCAAAGGAATCCTTAAACAATTGAATTTAGCAGGCTCTAGAAAAGTAGAATATTACGTTTCACTTAGAATTAAACATTTTTTCCAATCATCTGAAGCAAATTTCAGCAGTATCTAACGTAGTATCAGGTAGTACGGATATCAATAACTGAAAAGTAGTGGATGATCTTTCCTTAGGAAAGACATCTTTCGAGAAAGAAAGTAGTCCCAGTTAATCCTATCTTTGAGTTTTTTCGTATATTTTCATTTTAATGTAAGAAAGGAAAAATTCATGCGAATCATTGCAAATAAGCAAAATTAAAATACAGTTTGAGTTTGTATTAATAAACATCTTGGTACATCCTGGATATTCCGTTAGCTCAGTTGGAGTTTTTAGTTTATAGAACGTCGCAACAATCACTGAAACATTTTGGGATCCTTTCAGAGCCCAGGTGTATTTTAAAAAACTGAAAGGTGACAAATCTTAAAGAAAAAGAAAACACAACGTAACACCACTGTTGTTTGTCAATAGTCAATAGAAATTAACAACGTACTGTTATTCACTACAATTATTACGCTTAGAAAAGTTATCACATCATATTTCACTCACTGTATTTTTTCTCTCTTTCTCCGATTTAAGCAACTTCAAAAACAGACTGGCCACATTCACGCAACATCAAAACTTACATTGAAAATTTCTCAAGAAGAAATTTTTGATAGATGAAAGATGAATGAAATGATTATGACAATGATTTATCAACAAGTTGAACATCAGGCGATTGCTTCGGATAGCTTGGAACCTCTCTGAATCAGGTTTATCATGCACAGTATTTTTCCACTAAGGTAATAAGAAACCCACACAAAAGGTCATAAAAATCACACAGACTTTATAAAATACATCATAGAATAGTTTTTACAATTCATACAGATTCTCACATCCATTAAAATCAAACACAAACAAAAAAAATGTCTTCATTCTGTCTGAGATTTTGACTGGCAGAGAGCAAACCTAACCAGTGTTCTTGAGTCAAGCTAGTCTGATAAAATTATCATAAAATGAAGATTCAAATTTTTTTCCTATTTGCAACTTATTCAATTGAAAAAAACCCAATAGCCTACCAAAAAGCTTCATACCGTTTAAAAATTTTAAAAATATCTTCATACACTTTATCTGAGTAAAATTTTAATTAAACAAACAGCATCTAGACTTTCAAAATGATGTGCTCTGTGATTGTGTTCTGTTTATATATTCTTTTTGTGAAAAAAACCAACATATTTTTCAGATTGTATTTTTGTTTCAAAACAAAGCCATACAGTTTCTCAAACACAACTCAAGAATTTCTACTAAGGTTAATTGTTCCTTCTAGTAAAATGAGGCAGATATGCTTATTTATTTTGAATTGTGAGGTAAAATCAGAGGCATACATTCAAATGTGGCCAAAAAAGGAAGACAGCTTACGGGCATGTAAGGGAAAAGTAGGCCTTTTCTCAAATCATAGTGGAATAGCATACATGAATATTTACAAGCGAATACAAGCAAAATGCTACAAATATCATGTAAATGTTCACACACAACTCATCATTACAACTATTTAAACTATTAATACTATTTTGACACATTTGTTTCCATTTCAACGGGAATTTGATATCCATATAGCATGAAATAAAAGGACAGAGGTATTAACGTTCTTCGTTGTGTTCTTGATTTGACTTTGTCATGTATACGTGATTTGGATTTATGCAAAAGCCTTGGCATTTAAAAAAATGTTTTTGATGTGCCATGAAACTGGATATGCAGACTACTTGTACTCTTTCTAATGAGATGCCCTTAAATTATTGGATCTAAATATGCTGCTTTCTTGTAATAAAGATATTTTAAATCAGCTAAAGGACATAATATAAGGCAGAAAAAACTGCCTCTAGACCCAGTTGATCATAAGCAGAAATTAAACAATGACTTGAAAAAAAAAAAAGATACAAGACTTGAAATAAATTATAACACATTTGAAAAGCAATGGAAGAAAATCTATAGATCCATTGGCTTATTTTGTAATAGCTCTTATAATGAGCCAGGCTAATCTCCCTCCCCCCCCCCACCCTTTCCCTTTTCCTCCTCCTCCTCCTCCTCCTATGATAACTATGAAGACCACGAAAAAATTTGTTCTTTGACAAGATATTTTTTAACCAAACGTAACTGCAATACAAAAAAATAAATTATCAAAATCTTTGGTTAATTCTAGATCTAACACAACTGAACGGCTGGCAGACTTTACATGAAGTTCTGAGAATTCAGAACTCATAGTAGTGCTCATGATTTCTTTCCAGGACGTTCTCCAGGCTCACAAACCTCACCAGTGATATTTAACACTTTGCACTCATATACAACTAGCAGTCATACAGCCAGCAGTAGAAAATACCCCTTCTGGTCACCCACCCAGCCAGGAGAGAGACTGCAACCGACTTCTCAGGCCTGGCACAGAACTGCACTAGGTGACCGGAAAAGATAATTTTCATTGTCGCATTATTGCGCCAAGTGACCGCAAAGTGTTAAGTAAAGTCAGCAGAACAGGCGCCAGATATCAATCTCGTTAGGAATAATCTTAAACTTAGCAGATAACTACTGGCTGGTATTACAACAACAAAGAAATTGACACATTTGAGGAAATGACCCCTGGAAATAGTACCTTGACCAAAAGGACAGAAAGCATTTTTTGCTTTGTTTTAGTAAGACTTTTATGGCATGTGCAACACAAATAAGTAAATGTGCCAAAGATTAGATTGTGTTACTCCTAGAGGATAACATACAAAGAAAAGGAGGAGAGAGAAGGAAATTGGACGTTTAATAACAAAGCAGGAGCAAGCCCCACTAGAGCATCTACCAAACACCCACTCAGAGTGAGGTGAGAGCAAGGACAAAAGTTTCCTTTCAAATAAGAATCAGGAAGTAATCCCTGACAAAAATGTTCATGAGAATCCATCAAACTGAATATATTAATCATTTTGTCTTCCTGCATAACTTCTTTTTCACTTACATTTGCAAAAAAAAATTGCCTTCCCATAATCTCTGTTCAGTTACTATAATAGGCCTAATGAGAAAGGTGAAAACATCTTGTTTCTTCAAATGCCACTTTTAATTTTTAGCTGTATTTTTTTTCTCTATTAAAAAAATGCTGACAGACTTGCTCTACACCTTCTACAGTCATCATTTAAACTCAGAAAAAAATTTTCTTTTGGTTTTTGAAGCCCAAGAAAATAGCAAAGACTACACAGAGTGTAAATATTCTCATTGACAAAATTTCAGCGGAATGTGAACTCACATGCGTAAGACACCGGGGAACATTAGACACAGTTATCATGTCCAACTGTTTGATCAAAAAGACCAATATCTTTGAGAAGATGGTTCTGAATATGTTGAAGTTCTTCACCGACCCACAGAAATTGGGTGGACTAAATGTTCAGAAACTCTTCTTCATATAAAGAGTTCAGAAAGAAATAAAGTAGAAGATCATTAACAGGCAGTCTGTGGATGGCTCTTGCGAGACCTTGGATGCTAGAGGGGATAGAAGGAAGCTCTTTAAAGAAACCAAAGAAGTCAAGGTCAGCTGAATAAACAAACTAGATCATCGAGACAGTACAGATCAAATACACAACTGAGATGAAATGCAAAATGTTTTTGAGCAGTTCCTCAATATTGCAATGATTATAAATCCAACAGGTCCAACTGTAAATTTATCCGATAAATTCTCTGTACCAATGCTATTAAAAGGGAAGGAAAGAAAATTCAACTTACTGCTATTTTTCAGCAACAGAGAATTACTAGACTCATCTTACTCATCAGTTGCTCAAAAGTAAGGATTTATGTTTTTACTCTGTACTGTACTTTTGACGCAGTTGTAGAATAAATTGGACACATTGCTGATTTCCTTGTCTTAGCATGATAATTCCCAATAAGCCTGACAAAAAAACAGCAACTGATGTACACAAGAACCAAGCAAATCTTTACTTCTTTTCAATTAACCCTTGGTGAAAAATTCCTCTACACTGCAGATCACTTACATGCTGTTGTCCTGATGGCACAACTTAACAAATATGATGATGGTACTATGAGTATACCAGTGAGTGTAGCAATGGGAAAATATTGTATGTACAAAACGAATTGGAAGCATCATTATAATTATATCATAAAAAGTGGCCCACTTTCCCAGAACATTCCCACTTTGATACTGCGCATAACCAACCTGGTTCAGAGAGACCTTGAATGTACCAACACGAGAAGAAGAACAGGCTTTTCACCAATGTTCATCGTATCACACTCACTAACACGTCTCACACACACACACACACGCATGCAAGCACGCACGCACACACGCACACACAGACCTATGCACGCACCCACGCACGCACGCATATTCACATAATTACACGGCTGAAGTAATTATATATTTATATATATATGAGTAGATAAAAACTTAAGTGTGTAGCCTTCGTCATACCATGGACACTTTCTGACATCTGGGACTTTGTGTTGTGCTGTTGTTGTGGTGGTCGTTGCCGTGGTCATTTCTGTCGTCCATGAGGAGTCTGTCGGTGGTGTTACATCCCGTGGGGGCAGAGACGTAGCGAACTTCCACATGGTCATGATCCGGCGGTGCGCGCTCCGTGCGAAATTTCCGCCGATGGTAAAAGCCGCAGATGAGCAAAATGATGCAGAAAAACGAAGATATGGAAGTGCCAATAGCGATGTGGAGGATCTGTATCCCAGATGACTTTGGACCTGGGAAAAAAAAGTAAGAATAGGATCACATGGCAACCTTCATCTGAGTAAGGAAAGAAGTTTGGTGAAAATGTACCACCTACGACATTTTACTTTTTCTCGACAACTATTTTAAATGGTTATTATATGGCGATTTTCTAAGCAAATCTTTCTGATTTGAAAATGATGGTTTGAGTTTTCGGTAACAGAAGAACATAACATTTCACCTCAGAAAAACAGGTTGAAGTCACGCTGATCTCAATGTCATGATATGTTTGTTATTTATTGGCACATACCATTTTTCCCCTCTGTTTTTTAGATAGTTGCAAAGAAAGAAAGAAAGGAACAAACATTATACCTAGAACAACTTTGATCAACAAGCAAAAAAATTAGTCCGCTTTTCCTGTACCTTTAAAAACTGAAAATTTTAAAAATAAGTTATGATTCTATTCACCTTAGTCAATTTGTTTTCAAGCATATCTTCAACCAATTTGTTCCTAAATAAAAGGGAGACTAAATATGTACCAACACCAGGATCATTTTTCAAGGCTCACATTCTTCAACATGAAAACGTTAAATAATACGTAAAGCCCGAATCAACAACAAAAACTGATGACAAGACCTCCCCAACTGTTGTTCCCTCCAGAGTCTCTATAACACTGAAGTAGTGGAAAAAGAATGAGGATTCAGTGAATGTTAGAGGCATGCAACCACAGCTTAAGCTCATAACCAACAATAATAGTGAGCAAAATTGTAGCGGATTGGCAGAAAAACAATAGATACTTAAAACATTATTGTTGAACAATATTTTCCTGTCTATAAAAACCCCTCCAAAAAATCAACGGTATAATAATATGACTTTTCTGTGACCACAAGAATTGTATCTTTACATTAAAAAAACAAAAATCTTTGGCTACTTTCAACTAAAAAATTCTAGTCTGTGATTAAGATTCCAATGCTATTGATGTTTCTGCCACTGCAGCTTTTCTCATCCAGTTTACAATACCAGAACTTGTATTTTGGTTCTGAACAGGTCCAGAGAAAAAGAGGAATATTGCTCTTTAAAAATTAGTGTTTTTCTCTATCCTCAGATGTACTAATAAATTACAATTTCAAGCAAGATACGGTATAGCAGCTTTATATTATCTGGCCCAGAAAACACAGAATAAAGTACACTCTTACAACATAAAGAAAAAGGTACAGTACCGGTATAAAAATTTGCTTTACCAAAGTAGAAAATTATTAACCAGGATTCCCTGAAAGTTTACCAATCACCAAGCAAATAAAAGCAATGCAAAAGTACAATACCCAGTGAAAGTTATATGTACATTGAAAGGGTACAGTTTTTTGTGTTTACCAAAATGCATAAAAAAAAGAACCAGAGGTGAATTATTATTGTGAATGTAAAACAATGACCATTCCGTACTGGAACACTCAGACACAAGATGATTACCGGTATGTTATTTAAATAGAGGTTTTCAGGGATTAAGACCAGTGTTTTTTCTCTAACACATTAACAACACATACTGTGACACATACTGTTGTACTTTAGGACAACACAGCAGTACAAGGCCCAAAACACTGACCTGTTGGTTAACAAGGAAAGGATCAACAGACTGTTCATTATGGAATCGTGTATTTATTGAACACAAGAGATATCCATTTGCTTTAATTCAGTCTCTTTTTTTCCTAGAGAGTCAGGAGCCTGGTCAGAAGTGGTAGGTTATTAAAAGAAAATTATTAATGAAATCCCAGAAAATTTATTTTGCTTGAGTTTAATGAGAATTTTACCTTTGAAAAAAGTATCATAATGCAGTACAGGTATATCAAATAAAAAAGCAAAATGTAAAAGAAGGGGTTAAATGTTTCACAGCAGAAAAACAACAACAGTGTATGTGAAAAGTGATAATATTTTGGTCAAGAAAAGTGGAAAAACACCATATTGTGTTAGAAAATCTGTTGGAAAAAAGAAAAGGAGCAAAGCTGATTTTGTAGAAGGGTACGTACCCGAAGAGTTAGGGCCTGAACGAATGAAAGATCATGGAAAGGTATGAAGCAGGTCATGATGCACACATTCTCAGAACTGCACAAAATGCATTTAACGTGAACGATTTTATTAAAGACAGCTTGACACCAGAAGCTTTTCAGGTATACAGATACCGGAAACTTTTGATATATGACAGTGATGAAGATTTGCTTATCTTTTTTAATATTGGTAAGAAGTTGTTCCCGCATCCGATCCGGACATTGGGGATTGCCTTGTTGGTGAGACAACTTCCTGGGCCTTCGGCATTTTTATTGTGGTAGGGTGGCCAGTACCTTTACTTCCCTAACTCGAAGTCAGGTACCCATTACTGCTTGAAGGGCAGGAGGGGGACTTCCCGCCTCGGAGACGAGCGCACTAACCGCTCCGCCACCGCACACTCTTAATACTGGTACCTGTGTTAATATGTGAGTTTCAACTCCAAATATATAAAAGACCGATGTATTGGCGCAAGATACTTCGCAAGTTAAAGAAATATCTTCTTCTTGCCAAGCTGCAAAGCAGTGGAATTATTTGACAGCCAGTTATCAAAGCAGAAGCACCTCACATTCCAGCTGACCATAATTTCTGTACATTTATGAGGTGGATAATATGATGAAAAATACAAGCTGGAGGATTCTCACTTTATCAAAATGTTCAGAATTAAGTGTTTTCCTCCTAATCTCACAAGACATACAGGCAAACAAATTAACTAAATAAAAGCTGAAAAAAACCTTCACATACAATAATTTGTCATCTGGAAGGCCATTTTGTTAATAGTACATATCCACAATTCAGTTTAAGAACCCCATAAAGCCACATTTTTCTAAAATCAACTTTTTTAGCTTCCCCATACCCGCAGATCTTTCTCGGTCATATATCTTGTTGAAGTAAGGATCGTACTGTTAATAATACATGCAACGGAGAAAGATCTGCGGCCAGGGGGAAGCAAAGAAGTCATGTATAGAAAAATATGGCATAGGCCTGGAGGTTTCTTGAACTGAAACGTCAATATAAAAGATTTAAAGCAATAATGTTTACAGAATCCAAAGCTTTCGCTGACTAGAAATGAAAAAAATTATCATGCGGTTAATTGAAAGAATTACAACAGGAGCAGATCCAGCCACTCAGTGTGTAGAAGCTTTTAGAGGAAGCTGATTATTAATGGCACATACTCGGAGAATGCACAGTTTACATTATATCTTCATCCTGACTTGAGTGACTTGTAAATCATCATAGCATCTTCATCCACGCTAACTGCAGAACACTTCCAAATATAGTTGAAACCTTTTCTAATAGCCACCTGTATAAGACAATCACTGATACAAATGACCACTGCCCTTTTCCCCCTTGCAGTTTTTAAAATATGTTAATGACATTGTGCAAGACGTACACCTATCTAACATGGCCACTTTTCTCCTCGACAATAGTGGGCTGTCTTAGATAATTTCCACTGTACCAGTGAAGATGAAGTTCTGGTAATATTTCATATTCTTTTGCTCCTTCCAAGGCTCTGACCAATTCACAGTTTAAGGTCATCAACTGACATAATGAAAATTTCCTAAACTATTAAACCAATATTTATTGTATATAGGCTACTGAAAAAATGTTGATTGTAAATTAAATCAAGGTTAGATGCAAGCGCCATGCCTCCCCATGCCAGGCTCAGTTCTCTTATGCATCTTACCTCACTCTAAAAGTTGGAATATGTTTGTTTGGAACAACAATACCAAAAATAAAAGAAAACAAATGCTGGAACATGAACCAAACATTTTCGGTTTCAGACTTTGTCCGGAACCTAATGAAAGAAAAAGAAAAACAGAGAAACAAAAAAAATAACATGAATTAAAACATCGATTATCCCGGATGAGTCGAACACTGATCACTTTTATACATGAGTTAAAAGAGAGAAAGAAACTCTTCGCCACATAAAGAGTTCAGAAATAAATAAAGAAGAAAACCATTACGAGGCAGTCTATGGATGATTTGTATGTAAAAGAACTTTTTGCCAATCTTTTATTAATGCCATCACATTTATCAAGAACAAAAATTGGATCATTGAGCTAAATCAATTAAACTCTGCGAGATTTTTAATCTAGTCACTAAAAGTTTTGTACCATTTTGCTCCCAAAATTTTAAAAGTCCTTTTCATTTTCTCCACAATTCAAAAAGCAACATGCATCTTTCAATTAAGGAATTAAAAAGAAAAAAAAAAAAAAACAGAAAAAAAAAAGAAAACCAACATGTTATTGGGGTATTAATTATTAAGACAATCAGGTGAAAATCATTATCGCTACATTGATTGCAACAAATGTCTTGGGCAGGCTATGGAAATATCTAATATCAACCAACAGGTTTACTTTGGGAAAAATGCTAGGAATATTCGACAAAAACTTTAGCTGACATTTTTCTGTTGGCTACAGGCTATTACATACATGGTCTCATAATGAAGCAAACTAAACAAACAAAAAGCAACTCCAAAGAAAGAATAACAAATTCCACTAAACAAGTTAACATCATGACACCTTCTATTCGATGGAAGCGCTGTGGAATTTGTAACACCAAAATACACACTGAGAACTACTGGAACAACACGACACATAATTTATTATAGTTTAACAAACGAAGGGAAGCAACTACTCACATTCAGCAGTTTCGTCCGAGTTGTCTCCCTTCCCACAGTTGGGTTCCCCATTGCATTTCAATTTGGGAGAAATGCAATATTTGTTTTCGCGACACTTGAACCCTGAACACTCCATGGCTGCAACAAACACACAGTACAATAGACTGAATCTTTTACTCCGTACAAACAAACAAACAAACAAACAAACAGCATACAAACAAAGTGACTCATGTGTCTGCTGTGATGTAAAACTGTCTTTAGAAAATATTTTCTCATTCTTTGTGAAATAAAGTGGCGTGGGTGGCCTAGTGGTTAGGCTACTGGACCTGTAATCGTGAGATTGTGGGTTGGGGGTTTGAGCCTCAGCTGGGTCCGACGTTGTGTCCTTGGGAAAGGCGCTTAACATAACGTTCCCATTTGGCTCGGTCCTAATGGAGATGGACGTTACGTCGGAGGTCCTGCCTTCTAAATAACCTAAAAGTGTTGATGGGGGCATTAAACCCACACTATTTTTCTTTCTTAAAATAAGAATCTGAGTCTTTGTTTCCATTTTTTCCAAGTACATAAAAATCAAACAGAATGTTATCCTTCTCTCTTCAACCACACCTGCACTTCTCAGAAAACTACGTTATGTTAAAGTGTTGCTGGAGTTACTCAAAACATGACCAGAAAACAAACAAGTAGCAGACAGAGACGACATCACTCACTTGCTGAAGGCCCAACGTGAATCTCTGTCCATGAGATTTTAAAACCCTTTGCCCCCAACGATGTTTCTGATGTTAAAAATCTGGAAATAGAGAAAGCTGAATCTCAGAAATCGGATATAATAAAGAACATATTAAATATATATTGTTAATGATGCCTTAAACATAATACGTCATAAGAGCTGATTTCGAGTATGTGTGTTTATTTGATGCTATATGCAATTATTATTGGCCTATATATACATAGAGAGAGACAAGAGAGGCACACAAACATAAATACACACACAGAGGGGTGGACAGAAAGACAGAAAGAGGGTGAGAAAGAGAAAAATAGAGCAAGTGGACAGAGAGAGACAGGGACGGAGAAAGAGATAAGGGAGAGTTGCAGCCTTTTTCTAAAATCTTCGAGGAATCATTAATCAACTCCTATGACTCACTGATACGTTTCTCTTCTTGCTGATTCCCACACAATCATGATAGCAAGGGGGAGAGACAGACAGAAAGACACACAGACAGATAGGCACACAGACAAATAGACAAATAGACAGGCAGGCAGGCAGACAGACAGACAGACAGACAGACAGACAGACAGACAGACAGACAGACAGACATGGATGGAGACAGAGATAAGGATAGGGATGGGGACAGACAGAGACATAAACAGAGATAAAGATAGAGATATAAACAGACACAGAAGCAGAGATAGAGACAGTATAGAGATAGAGACAGAGATAGAGACAGAGGCAGAGACAGAGACAGAGACAGACAGAGACATAAACAGAGACAAAGGCAGAGTTATAAACAGAAATACAGATAGAGACAGAGAGAGACATCCTGAAAGGGGGGAGGTGAGTAGGGGATGGGTGGGTGTTGTACTCACGAGATCTTAAAGGAATCATGAATGGACACGTAGGACTGACTGATGGCTGGATCCTGCTGCTTCCCACACAGCCGGTTGAGAGGCCTCGGGGCCGTGCTGTCAGCAAACAGTCGGAGAACTACAGCTTGACAGCTCGCTGAAATGCGCATTGAACGTGAACGGTACATTTAGCATGAACTATGAAATGGGTACCATGAACTTGACAGTATGTATCATGAACTAGAAAATCGGTACCATGAACTAGAAAATGGGTATAATGAACTAGAAAATAAGTATCATGAACTAGAAAATAGGTATCATGGGTATTATGAACTAGAAATGGGAATAATGAACTAAAGCATGGGTATCATGAACTAGAAAATGAGCAATTGAAAGTTCAGGTATCATGATTCAGAAAATGAGATATTGAAAATTAACGATATCATGAACCAGAAAATGAGCTATTGAAAGTTAAAAGAATCATGAATAAGTAAAAATTAAGTTTAACCCTCTATTCAGATCTTACTTGACCTAGTACAAGTACTCCTTCTGGGGCTCTCGTGGTCGAGAGGTTATGGTGTTCACCTCAAATTCAATAGGTCCCGGTTTCAAATACCAACAGCGACGGACAATTTTCTGCTGCCAAAATTTTCTCCTTTCACCTCCATTCCTGCTCTCTAACAATACTTTGTCGTCTGCTTTCGTATCTACATTCTGCCCCCATCCCTTCCCCTCCTATGACCCCC